AGCTCCGCCGGGAGGATCCCCTGCTGGGTGCTGGGGTCAGGGTGCCCTCGGTATTCGCTGGGCTTCCCCCAACCCCTCCCCCAGGCATAGGTAGGAAGGGTCTCGGGATGTCCTCGGCAGCAGTCTGACCCCTCCCAGCCCGGTCAGGCCCCGGGGCCCACGCTGCGTCTGCCGGGCGGCTCCCCTCAGGGACAGGGATCGGGTCATCCAAGCGATCCCTCTCCTCCAACTGGGCAATCAGTTGTTCCTTGGTGGACCTCCCGATGCGCAGCCCCCTCTGCCTGCACAGCTCCACCAGGTCACTCTTAAGGCGTTTAGCGTACATCTCCCTGCTGGCCACTCGCAGGCCGGGCAGCTTCCCACGGTTTCCAGGAAAAGCCCTTAGTGTGCCAGTCCTTCTTGAGGTCACCACCTCTTTGCCAGGGTCGAGCTGCAGACTCCTCCGCCCCTGGGACCGCTCGCTGCAATCCCCGGGGGACCCTGTTACTGCAAAAGTCTTTCTCTCTGGTCACACATTCCCAGGGGTTAGCCGCCCCCGAAACCGTCTCTCTCTGAATCTTCAGCACGCCTGGTCCCCGTCAATTCCCCTTCGTTTTACTGTTCCCCAGTCACTTACTGCAGGAAGCGCCGTTCACGGGGTGCAGTAGATCCCACCGCTGCCACCAGTTGTCGCGGAGTGTGGGGGAGTCCAGGCCCTGCACCCCTCTTCCTGGGATCCACTGAGACTCTCAGCCAGCCAGTAAAACAGAAGGTTTATTGGACAACAGGAACACAGTCCACAACAGAGCTTGTGGGTACAACCAGGACCCCTCGATCACGTCCTTCTGGGGGAGCAGGGAGCTTAGACCCCAGCCCTGGGGTTCCCTGTGTTCCTCTCCCCAGCCTCCCAAACTGCCAACTTCGTCACACGTGGTCTTCCATCCCCTCAAGTTACCTAGTGGCCATGCCCCAGTGTCCCCAACGGGACTGTCCTGGTGAATGGAACAATGGCTCCGGGTAGCCGGAGAATGCCTGTTCCCCCGGCAACCTCAGTGCCATTCCCTCTGGAAGTGATGGTGTCAGCGAAGGTGCTGGAGGTGGTCAGGCCTCGCGGTTGGAGCTGGACTCAGGAGGCCGGGGCGTGGGTGGAGCGAGGCTGGAGCGAGAGCAGGGCTGGAGCAGGGCTGGAGCAGCCGAAGACTGTTGCCAATGTCAGGCAGGAGCGAGTTCCTGGCCCTGGAGTCGTGTTCAGCAGACTGAGCTGCTGCTGTGAGACTGAAATACTTGCTCCGGGAGTCACGGGCCTGTTCCTGGCTTGTGGATTGGCGGGAGCCCGGCACAGGAGGGACTCAGGGCCTGACACATGGCTCCAGGGGGCGCTTGGCTCCAGCCCCGCTGGGCACTGACAGGCCAGGTGCAGGGGGCCAGGCGCAGCACCAGGGAGGACATTGGGGAGGCAGGAGCGCTGAGGTGGGGCTGAGCGGGCAGGTGCTGAGGAGCTGCGGCCGGCTGGCCAGCAGGGAGGAGGAGCAGCACCCAGCTGTGGAGGGCCCAGCTGCAGCTCCACACGGGGCGTGGCCAGAGCCTGGCAGGCGGCTGGCTGAAGTGGCACTTTGTGATCTGGCGCAGGCGGGAGCTGGCTCCCCACATCCGAACGCTCTGCAGCGCCGGCGGATTCACATCTAAACCCGGATCTGGCTTCCAATTCACAGCTGGCCCCTCCCCCCGATCTGGAGTGGCTGAGACTCCAGCGCTCTGTAGAAGAGGCCAACAAATGCCAGCTCCTGGGGTGGGCTTCCCCCAGAGACAACCCCGTGCTGGGAAGGGAGGTTCCAAGAGCCGGCAGCTCCACCACTCACACTCCCAGCTTCCTGGGAATGAGCCAGGAGCAGAGTCCCAGTCCCCGTCCCCTGGCATTAATCCAGGGACTCCGCACTGGGGATGTGCACCTGGCAGCACGCAGCCTCCTGAGAACAGACAGGCCAGGGTGCAGGGCGAGGGCTCCCAGAGAGAAACGGCAGGAGGGCAATGCTGGGAACCCCCAGGCCGTCTTCAGCTCAAGCATGAGGGCACCCCAGCATCCTGGAGAGCATGAATCTAGCTTCAGCTCAGCCTTTATGTCCCCCCGTTCTCTGTGCTAGATGGGTTGGTCTCCCAGAGAGACGAAAGTGCCCATCAGGGCTTATCCAACGTCAGTTTCCCGCTCTTGTGAAAAAAAGGTGACTTCCCTTACACAGGAGCTGGTGTTCTTCAGGCTGGGCTGGGCCTGTACACGTTCCCCTGTAGGGGTGTGTGCACCCAGGGCCTGTGAGTCGCAGACGTTTGCCAACAAACATTTGCCAACAGACGTTTGGCCCTGCTCTCCCCGTGTGCTCAGGGACCGCCATCAAAAGGGCACGTCTGCCACCTCCCTCTCAAGTCCTTCGCACCTGCATACTGCCAGGGGAACATCCCCATTTCTACTGAGGCCTCAGGGACAGGGTTTATGATGAAGCGGCTGGAGTTGATCTCTTCCCCTCCCCCCCGCCCCCCGTGTTGCACCCCAACGGCTAGCTGGGGATCCAAACTGACACTCCCTGGTTTGAGCCCCTGCCTAGCCAGGCCCTGTTCCCTCCCCCCAGGCAGTTGTTGGTCCTGAATTCCTGCAGGCAGCCATGACACACAGGTGCTTGGGGGCTTGAGAGAAGGGCTATCACCAGCTGAATGACCCCTGCCTGTATGGTGGGGACTGAGGCCACTTTGCCAGCAGGTGCCCCCCAAGTCCTGTGCTATCCTGAGTCTGGGGAGATGGGCAGGTTCAGCCTCATTAGAAGGGATCGGCCAGACAGAAAGGCAGAATCGGGTCCCCGCACAGAGCCCCTCTACTACCTGCCTGTGTCCTAACCACCAGGACAGTGGCCAATCCCACCTTCAGGTCAGGTTCCAGCGTCGGGCCCTGTCCATACCCACAGCGTGTGGCACCCAGCATGCGCTGATAGACTCCGGTACATGCTGTAAGTTCACAGACACTAGAAACTGCCTAATGCCAAGCTGGGGGCTGGGGATGTGTAGGGTACAGAGCACAGCACCCCCTAAGGCCGGGCAGGAGGGCTGGGAAATGCATATGATACAGAGCACAGCACCCTCTAACACCTGGGCTGAGAGATGGGGGGTGTAGGGTACAGAGCACAGCGCCCCCTAACGCCGGCCAGGGGGCCTGGAAGCTGGGGGAATATGTAGGATCCAGAGCACAGCATCCCCTAACACCAGGCTGGGGGGCAGGGAGAGGGGGGATATGTGGGGTACAGAGCACAGCGCCCCCTCACACCAGGACACGAGGTCTCGTCCATCTCAGGGCGGAAATGATCACACCCATCGAATGGGGGATCTGCCACGGGCACTGGCAGGAGCGCGCTGCTTTACATTAAGGTTCTTTGGCTGACGGGCGAACCTCACCCCGCCCTGCGTTTCGAGTGTGAACAGCTGTCGATGGAAACCCAGACGGCAGAGATGGAGCAGGACTAACCGGGGTCACTGGGTCTCGCCCTCACCCCGTGTCTACACTGTACGAGGGTAGGAAATAGCAGGTGCCTTTTCTTGCCCTGATACAATTTTGGAGATGCTGACGCTTGCGACAGCTTTCTCCCTGTGTGGGTTATGGGATCCAGGGGAGCCGTCTGTGTGCTCTGTACAGGACAAGGTGTGTAGATCGTTTATACCTCAATGTATCACTGTAAATACAGTTATTTAATATATCAAATAAAAGCAGAACAATACATCAAAAAGCATCAAAATGAAACAGAGGATTGCTATGTACAGGGGGGATTGCTATGTACAGGGGGGATTGCACGTGACTAGTTAACTGCTCAAGAGCTTTCATCACCGGGTACTTTCTGACAGATTTCTGCGCCCTGTGTAGGGTTTACGTCCCGCCCTCCGTCCCCGTTTCCGGTCGTGTACGTTTTTGGCGCCGTCGGCCCTTTTGAACATTTCTTTTGTATTGTTTTCTGTGTTTGGCCTGGGGAAGGTTGCGTTCTTGTGTTTTGACATATTTAGAGAAAAAGTATGAACAAGTAGAAAGAAAGGCTGTAAGGGGTTTGCGGCTCCCTCCCCGTCCATCAGGGTGGGAGACCACGCCCCTCGCTACGATACTTCCGGGGTACCTTGGTTCAGGGGAAAATTAGCCCAGTGTTAATGGTTCAGGCCTGCAGTCAGGCCGAGCAATGGTAGAGAGTCTGTTTGCCCGGGGCCCTCATTCAGGGCAGGGCTGCTGTCAAGTAGGGGCTCTGGCCTACAGTCAGGCAGGCAGAGCAGCAGAAGGTCCATTTGCCTGGCCCTTGATCAAGGCGGGGCAGCAATCAAGTAGGGGGGCTCTGGCCTACAGTCCGGCAGAGCCGTCGCCGTCTAGCGGAGCTTAGCTCTCTGGCGGGAGAGTCAGCACAACCGTCTGGCGTCCTGATTCAGGCGGGCGCCAGACCAATCAGGCCTCCTGACAACCAGGTGGGGAACCTGCCACTCCTGACGGTGGCGTGGCAGTGGTAGGGGAACCCAGGCCTTCCTGCTCCACTGCGTCCCCACCCAGGGCCCTAAACAGCAGCGGAGTGGTCCGCCATTGGGTCAGCGGGGAAAATCTGATCACAACACGCTGGCCGGCGTGAACCCGATTCAGCTGCCCTGGGCTCCTTCCTACACACCCATTCCGTGTGTACATGGGTTCCAGGGTTGTTGTTCTCTTCGCTGGGGTAGACGGCTAGTGGCAGCCCCACCAGCTCCTTGGAGTCCCCGGCGTCTGGCAGCTCCGGCAGCCCCTCTGGCTCTCTGTCAGGATAGCGCTCTCCATTAGGGGAGCAGGGAAGAGACGTCCTGCTCCTCCAGCAGCTTTCTCCCAACTGAGCTGGAGGGGCGGCCTTTTATGGTTCCGCTTCCTGTCCCACCCCTCTGCTTCCGGCAGGGTGGCATGCGGTGGGAGACAAGCCTGCTTTCTGCAACCCTCCTGCCCCCAGCAACCCACTTCAGCGAGTCCCAAAATCAAATCCACTTACCAGGGGCCTCCTCTCCTCTTTGCGCTTCGCCAACATCCGGGGTAGAAAAGAGCTCCTGGCCGCATGCATCTCTGACCTCCGAGTCATCTTCTGCCTCTGGGTCCCCCTCCACATCCTCGTCCAAGATTTCCTCCTCCTGGCTCGGTCCACTCTCAACTGACATGCGAGCCACCTAAGTATCCACAGTGGTGTTAGCAATGGAGGTGGAGTCGCCGCGGAGTATCATGTCCAGCTCTTTGGAGAACCGGCAGCTCGTAGGCGCAGCACCGGAGTGGCGGTTTGCCTCCCGCGCCCTGTGCTCGGCGTTCCGCAGCTCCTTCACTTTCATCCTAAACTGCCGTGTGTCCCGGTCATCGCCCCTTTCTGTCTTGCATCGTGAAATCTGTCCGTAGGTGTAATGATGCTGGTTCTGGCGGGACCCAACTGAGAGTGCCAGTTCAGGACAAACTGCTTCAAGCAGGGCAGTTACAGCCGAAGGCTGGGGCTTTTCCACCTCCAAGGCAAACCAAACCAGCCAAACAGAGCAGACTTTGGTCTCACCCCACTGGCTCACCACAAGTCACACAAGCAATTCCCTTAGACGCTCCAGTTTCCAATTGTTATGGGGACAAATGGTTATGAAAACCAATACCTCAGGAAAAGAAAAAAGGCTCTCTTGATCCCAAAGGACCAAGCCCCAGACCCAGGTCAATATACAAATCAGATCTTGTCCCAAATCACGCTGTTGCCAATCCTTTAGAATCTAAAATCTAAAGGTTTTGTTCATAAAAGGAAAAAGCTATAGATGAGAGCTAGAATTGGTGAAATGGAATCAATGACATACAGTCATGGCCAAGTTCTTGGTTCAGGCTTATGGCAGCGACAGAATAAACTCCAGGTTCAAATCAAGTCTCTGGAGAACATCCACAGCTGGGATGCGTCTTTCAGTTCTTGGTTCAAAGCTTCAGTGTAGCAAAGTCCCTCCAGAGGGATGAAGCAGGACTGAAGACAAGATGGAGGAGCTGCAGCAGCTTTTCATATTCTCTTGCCATGTGGTCTTTCTTTCTTTGTCCCAAAACAAGCTGTCCATTACGTGGCCTGGAAAAACCTCCGAGTTCTGTCCATTGGCAGGTCCCTGCACACCGTGCTGAGTCCCAAGGCTTGTCTGCCTTCTCTCAATGGGTCAATTGTGTAGCTGATGGTCCTTAATCGGTCATCAAGCAGGCTAGGCATTGCATCCGATGAAGTGAGCTGTAGCTCACGAAAGCTTATGCTCAAATAAATTTGTTAGTCTCTAAGGGCCACAAGTACTCCTTTTGAACTTGTCTGGGGTGTCACCCAGAAGCATAGTACAAGTTTGAACCACAGACAGTATCGAGTCAATACTTATAACTTAAAATACAAAAATGACACAAGCATATAGATAGCACAGTCATAACCAGCAAACCGTAACCTTGCCTTAGACACCTTATTGGACCCCCCTTTATACAAGATTTGGTGCCACTACAGGACCTTGGTTGCAACGATGATCTATATGGTCCCAGTTCAAGTCAATAACGTCACAGTAGGTATCATAATTGCTACGTCCGGAGTGCAGCCTGGACTGTACAGCCTCCTCTCCCCAAATGCTGATGAGGTCCAGCAGCTCGGCATAGCTCCAAGCAGGTGGATCGCCTGGTGCGTGGAGCAGGCCTGGCCACCTGGAAAGATGCGCTGCACTCATCACTGAGCAAACAGGAAGGGGACTGTCAAAATGGCAAAGGAGTTTATGGAGTGGGGATGATGGATGGTCACCTGAGGGCCGGGCAGTAGAGTTCAAACCGATGACCAGAGAGGCGAGAGCAGGCATTGTGGGACACCTCCCGGAGGCCAATCGCAGCGCCGTAATCGACCTCGGTGTCTACACTGGCACCGCAGCCTGTAGCCCCGGTGCAGAAAGTTTTTTAAACTGTGCAGTACTTTTTTTTAAAGCGCTGCAACTGCCCTGTTTCCGCGCCCTGAGTGGCGTGGCCGTGAGTACACCTCACCAGTTGCAGCGCAGAAAGCTGCTTTACCGCACTGCAACTTGCCAGCGTAGACAGGACCTAAGGAAACAGTGCCATGACTTTAAACCTCCTGTTTACTGGAAAAAAACAAGGCTGTGTTTTGGAATGGAAAAAAAATGCACCTTTTAAAAATGCAGTAACAGTTTTAACACATGATGAAAGTTATATTAAGCTTATTAAACATTTTAGATTTTTGTTGCATTATCAGACTGCTTTTGTTCTTAAATGTTTCCAGCCCAAGGGCTGAGACATAAACACATGCTTCTGTGTTTGTTTTGGGTCTAGAGGCTGTATTAAAAGTAATACTTTATAAAAGCAAAAAGGCTTTTTCATTTGTACTTTGTGTTTCTAAGAAGACAAAAAGCATTTTAGTAATAAGTTTGACAGGGGCATTTTTGAATTAGCCAGTTTGTTTTCCAAAGATGTCTAGTTACCATTAAGCAAAAGCCAGGGCCGTAAAGTTAATTAAAGGAAATAGGCATGTAGATTTCAAAGCCTCCTGGTTACAGAAATGGGAATGGCCATATCACCATTTACAAAATCTTTTTATTAACTGTTTAAATAAACTTACTATATAAAAGAATACAAAAAGAGACCCAAACCAAAACAGCTTTACCTTTAAATTGTAAAGAAAGCTTTAAAAATCAGGGTACAGTTAAAACCCTCACGTTTTTAAGGTTTGGATTTAGATAAAAAAGAAGAAAAAGCAGCTGATGTGAAAAAGTTCTGACAGAGATAAGGGGCTTGTTCTGTTTCCAACATACACACACATACGTTCTTCTTCTTTTCTCATGTTTTTCTGAAATGTAAACCAGGACAAACAAGTTTGCTTTAGGCCTGTCATAGAAAATCTGCATGAAGCAGGATTTAAAAATAGCTGCCTTCCCCTGTTTAGCTCGCATGTCCTGTGACCAAAGTTGTTTCACTGTAAAGATGGCCAGAACATATATGAATTTAAAACAAACAAGAACCCACAGCAGATTGCTTTTCGAAAGACACCCTTTGAACTTCTTAAGAGTGTAAAATAAAGAAGCATCTCGGGGTTAAAACCACAGGCAGTTTACAAAAGTAATTTGTTAAAGTTAAATTAAGTTTTTATTGACTTAGGGATTTTAATATGATTTTTTGTTGCATTATCAGACTGTCTTTGTTTCTAAATGTTTGCAGTCCGTGTGCTGAGACCCAGGTACAAGCTCTTTTTTAACTGTTTAAATGGACTTAATATATCAAAGAATGCAAAAAGAGAAAGTTGGGTTTTTTTGGTTACCTTGAAATTGTAAAGAAAGCTTTAAAAATCAGGGTACAGTTAAAAACCTCATGTTTTGAAAGTATGGATTTCTACAAAACACAAGAAAAAGCAGCTTATGTGAATCAGTTAGCTTTTTTTTTTAAACCAGAGATAAGGTATTTGTCGCCCCCCCTCCCCCATTTTTCTTTTCTAGTGATTTTTTAAGTGTAAATCAAAGGCCAAATTTGACCTATTTGAAGCAGGCCCTTCTGCTTTTAAATTTTTTTTCCAGCAAAGGCAGAGGATTAAAACTAAATGTAAACCTAAGGGGCTGCCAAGTTTTACTGAACACTAGTAAGATCAACACCTGTTTACGGGAACGTTAATGGTAAAGAGAAAGCAATATTACCATTCACAATCTATTTAACACATTTGTAACCCTTGAAATGAACTCTCTTGTTCTGTAGGGAAATAAAGAGGCCCCTTTGTAACACGAACTGGTTTAAGCTCTTAAGAAGGTGTCTACACTGCCCACGTGAAATCGCTGCCGCGGCTCCAGCTGAGGAGGGTGTTTTTTCACACCCCTGAGCGGGGCAAGTTTCAGCGCTGTAAGTGGCAGTGTAGACAAGCCCTAATTGAACTGTGACATTTTAAAACAGGGAACACTCTCTAAAAACCCCAGAAATTATTTTTGTTGTTTGTCAGCCCCAGTGGGAAAAGTCCCATAAAATTTAAAAGGCCTTAAAGCCAATGGGGTTATCTATCTGTAAGCAGTGTCAGGATGAGCTCCACCCTGACATCTGGTGGTGAGGTGTGGCAAGTTGTGGAAAAGAACTTCAGGGGCCAATCTCATTTGCATAGGCACACCCACCCCGCCTAGAATGAGACCATAGCTGCCCAAATGGTCACTTTGGCTGCTGTGGGATCCCCAGTGTCTCTGTTATTGGGGCAGAAAGAATAAATTGTTATTACCCTGATTATGGGAACTGTGCTTGGAACTGTACGTGGCCTTTTGTTATGATGGAGGGATTCACCATCAACTAAGTAGCACTCGCTAGGCAAGGGTCATGGGTTCCAAAACTGTGTGAATGGAGAGAGGCTGGGGACAAGTACTAATACTTGGTGGTGAGGGTCTTACATGCTAATTGCACTTCCTCTTCTCTCCACTGTGGAATATCAGAGCTAATTTTGATTTCATTAGAAGTCTAGTTATAGGCTGCTGAGCTCATTTTGGGCTGACAGTGCACCAGCACTGGGGCTCCCCTACTACAAGCTGAATTCACCTAAGAGCTGAAATCACTGAGTGTTGTGTTAAGTAGTGGGGGAGCCAGAAAATATATTGTGGAGCAGTTGGCGGGCCGGCTGGTGGAGCAGTTTGTGGATGGCAGGAGCTGCTTGTGGGCCGTGGAGCTGAGCGAAGGAGTTCGTGGAGCGACTGGCGGAGCGGAGCGCAGCCGAGCGAAGGAGTTCGTGGGGCGGCTGGCGGAGCGGAGCGCAGCCGAGCGAAGGAGTTCGTGGGGCGGCTGGCGGAGCGGAGCGCAGCTGAGTGAAGGAGTTCGTGGGGTGGTCAGCTTCAGATCATGTAAGGTGCCTCTTACCCCTGTCCCATTTCCACCCAGGTTGGGAGGTAAAGCTCCGCAGATAAACTTTCGAACTCTGGGGCGGCCCTGACCAGGGACAGAGACTTTTGGGGCATTGGACTTTTGGGACTTTGAGTGATTTGGGGTTGCTGGACTCAAGAACCACAGGGAAAAGGGCATGCCCCAATTTGCTTGGGGTGGGTTTTTGCTCATGGGTTTTGTTATGAATCCTGTTGGTGGTGTTTCCCAAACATAATGCCACATTGTTTCTCTCTGTTATTAAAAGGCTTTTGCTACACTCAGACTATGTGCTTGCGAGAGGGGAAGTATTGCCTCTTGGAGGCGCCCAGCGGGGGTGGTATATATTTGTCCCAGGTCACTGGATGGGGGCTCGAGCCGGTTTGCATTGTGTTATTGGAATGGATCCCCTAGATATTGAACCCGGCCCTTGTTGCTGCCAACTCTGACGGGCAGAAGGGTTACATATCTATCTATCTATCTATCTAGTGGGAAAGGTGCTTGGGGCCTGTTTTTTTAGATAAGAATAAGGCAGTTAAAGGGGGTGGGTGATGAGGGGAGGGGCGGGGAGGGGAGGGAGAGGGCTCTTGTTTAAAAATCTTGGGTTGATAGGATTGGTTCAGGAAAATGCATTCTATGATGCAGCTGTAGAACAGTTTCTGATTGGTCTGCCCGAGAGGCAGAGATAACCATGCTGGGGGCTGTGAGCCTTGGGAGCTCCCTCTTTTCCCGGGGGCAGCCGCAAGGGAAGAATTAGTAGGGGAAGCAAAAGTGGATGGGAACCTGGGAGGCAGTGACCATGAGATGGTCGAGTTCAGGATCCTGACACAAGGACGAAAGGAAAGCAGCAGAATATGGACCCTGGACTTGAGAAAAGCAGACTTTGACTCCCTCAGGGAACTGATGGGCAAGATTCCCTGGAAGAATAACATGAGGGGGAAAGGAGTCCAGGAGAGCTGGCTGTATTTTAAAGAATCCTTATTGAGGTTACAGGGACAAACCGTCCCGACGTGTAGAAAGAATAGTAAATATGGCAGGCGACCAGCTTGGCTTAACAGTGAAATCCTTGCTAATCTTAAATACAAAAAAGAAGCTTACAAGAAGTGGAAGATTGGACAAATGACCAGGGAGGAGTACAAAAATATTGCTCGGGCATGCAGGAGTGAAATCAGGAAGGCCAAATCACACCTGGAGTTGCAGCTAGCAAGAGATGTCAAGAGGAACAAGAAGGGTTTCTTCAGGTATGTTAGCAACAAGAAGAAAGTCAAGGAAAGTGTGGGCCCCTTATTGAATGAGGGAGGCAACCTAGTGACAGAGGATGTGGAAAAAGCTAATGTACTCAATGCTTTTTTTTGCCTCTGTCTTCACGAACAAGGTCAGCTCCTAGACTACTGCACTGGGCAGCACAGCATGGGGAGGAGGTGACCAGCCCTCTGTGGAGAAAGAAGTGGTTCAGGACTATTTAGCAAAGCTGGACGAGCACAAGTCCATGGGGCCGGATGCGTTGCATCTGAGAGTCCTAAAGGAGTTGGTGGATGTGATTGCAGAGCCATTGGCCATTATCTTTGAAAACTCATGGCGATCGGGGGAAGTCCCGGATGACTGGAAAAAGGCTAATGTAGTGCCCATCTTTAAAAAAGGGAAGAAGGAGGATCCTGGGAACTACAGGCCAGTCAGCCTCACCTCAGTCCCTGGAAAAATCATGGAGCAGGTCCTCAAGGAATCAATTCTGAAGCACTTAGACGAGAGGAAAGTGATCAGAAACAGTCAGCATGGATTCACCAAGGGCAAGTCATGCCTAACTAATCTAATTGCTTTCTATGACGCGATAACTGGCTCTGTGGATGAGGGGAAAGCGGTGGACGTGTTGTTCCTTGACTTTAGCAAAGCTTTTGACACTGTCTCCCACAGTATTCTTGCCAGCAAGTTAAAGAAGTATGGGCTGGATGAATGCACTATAAGGTGGATAGAAAGCTGGCTAGATTGTCGGGCTCAACGGGTAGTGCTCAATGGCTCCATGTCTATTTGGCAGCCGGTATCAAGTGGAGTGCCCCAAGGGTCGGTCCTGGGGCCGGTTTTGTTCAATATCTTCATAAATGATCTGGAGGATGGTGTGGATTGCACCCTCAGCAAGTTTGCAGATGACACTAAACTGGGAGGAGAGGTAGACACGCTGGAGGGTAGGGATAGGATACAGAGGGACCTAGACAAATTGGAGGATTGGGCCAAAAGAAATCTGATGAGTTTCAGCAAGGACAAGTGCAGAGTCCTGCACTTAGGATGGAAGAATCCAATGCACCGCTACAGACTAGGGACCGAATGGCTCTGCAGCAGTTCTGCAGAAAAGGACCTAGGGGTTACAGTGGACGAGAAGCTGGATATGAGTCAACAGTGTGCCCTTGTTGCCAAGAAGGCAAATGGCATTTTGGGATGTATAAGTAGGGGCATTGCCAGCAGATCGAGGGACGTGATCGTTCCCCTCTATTCGACACTGGTGAGGCCTCATCTGGAGTACTGTGTCCAGTTTTGGGCCCCACACTTCAAGAAGGATGTGGAAACATTGGAAAGAGTCCAGCGGAGGGCGACAAAAATGATTAGGGGACTAGAATGCATGACTTTTGAGGAGAGGCTGAGGGAACTGGGGATGTTTAGTCTACGGAAGAGAAGAATGAGGGGGGAAATGATAGCTGCTTTCAACTACCTGAAAGGGGGTTCCAAAGAGGATGGATCTAGACTGTTGTCAGTGGTAGCAGATGACAGAACAAGGAGTAATGATCTCAAGTTGCAGTGGGGGAGATTTAGGTTGGATATTAGGAAAAACTTTTTCACTATGAGGGTGGTGAAACACTGGAATGCGTTACCTAGGGAGGTGGTGGAATCTCCTTCCTTAGAAGTTTTTAAGGTCAGGCTTGACAAAGCCCTGTCTGGGATGATTTAATTGGGGATTGGTCCTGCATTGAGCAGGGGGTTGGACTAGATGACCTCCTGAGGTCCCTTCCAACCCTGATATTCTATGATTCTATGATTCTGGGGTCCTCCTATTTTTCTAGGAATGAGCCTGTGACTCTTCTCTGAGGACCGTCTTCTGGATCCTACAGGAGGGGTTCAGACTCTCACTCCCCAAGCCAGCCAGGGGCCCTGTGGTTAGTGCTCAACAGAACCAGGCAGAGCTCTGGCTTGAAGTCCCAGCTCCTTCCTCTGTCCTTCCAGAAGAAAGGGCCTGACACTGCATTGCACTGACTGCCCTGACCAAGGACGGCCCACTGCTGGCCCAGCTAGGAAGACAGACTGGAAAATGGATCTGAGAGTTTAGGTAAAATTGCCCCCACCCCTCTCATCGGTCTAACCTCCAAGATGTAGTGGAGTCTGTCGGAGCCTGAGAACTCTGCCAGCAGATTCCGCAGCATGGCATCCAGGATGTCTGGCAAGACCCTATGCAGATCCTGCAAAGCAAGGGAGAGTCATGAGTCAGAGTAAGGGAAACTGGGGCTACACGTGCCACAGGATAGGAAGAGGGGGTCTCTGGGAAGCAGTGGTGAGACCCCCAAACACATATCCTGACCTCTCTCATTCACATCCCACTGCAGGCAATTAGCAAGGATTCGTGGCAGGATGACAACTAGCTCTTCAATCCATGACTTTAGCATGATCTACCTGGACTTGGGTGGCATCCTTCTCCGTGCCCAGCGTGAACACGGCAAGAAGGGCAGCGCGAAGGAGGTGGGTCTCCAGCTCCGGCTCCAGGGCAGGTGTCAGGGCAGGTGTCCAGGGCAGGTGCTGGCAAGAGAGAGTGGAGCAGGTATTAGACTGTGCAGTGCAGGGGTGGGAGTGGCACCAACAGGGACGTGAAACTGCAGGGAAATAGGCAGAGGTTGGAGAGAATGGCAACTGAGGCACCGAGCCAGGGAATGATAAGGCCAAGGTTTCCCAGACAGACAGTGGCAGGGCAGGAATAGCGCCTGTTCCCTGGACCCAGCTGCCCCTCCTGTATCTGATCCTGGGAGTCAGCCTCTCCCCAGAGCCATTGCACTGTTACTGGAGTGAAAAGAACAGCCGAGCCAGGAGAGAGGGAACCTTCCCGCCACCTCTGCCAGAGGAGTCACCCTTGGGAGGTGACCTGGGAGTGGGAGGGGCCGTGACTCCCAGCCCTGGGCCTGAGCAGCACCGGGGTTAGGGGAACCGGGCAAGAGGGTCTTGGTACCTGAGGTTGCCCACAGCAATCAGGGAGTTGGCCAGGACGGCGCCCGGTGGAGAGTCATCAGGAAGCTCCTCAATGAGCTCCTGTGAAACCCAAAGGAGACAAAGGAGCGTGTGAGATTCGGGCCTCACTGACACTTCCCAATGAGATTACACAGCCAGCACCCCACCCAGCCACTAGGATCTTCAACATTGGTGAGGCCTCATCTGGAGTACTGTGTCCAGTTTTGGGCCCCACACTTCAAGAAGGATGTGGATAAATTGGAGAGAGTCCAGCGAAGGGCAACAAAAATGATTAGGGGTCTAGAACACATGAGTTATGAGGAGAGGCTGAGGGAGCTGGGATTGTTTAGCCTGCAGAAGAGAAGAATGAGGGGGGATTTGATAGCTGCTTTCAACTACCTGAAAGGGGGTTCCAAAGAGGATGGCTCTAGACTGTTCTCAATGGTATCAGATGACAGAACGAGGAGTAATGGTTTCAAGTTGCAGTGGGGGAGGTTTAGATTGGATATTAGGAAAAACTTTTTCACTAAGAGGGTGGTGAAACACTGGAATGCGTTACCTAGGGAGGTGGTAGAATCTCCTTCCTTAGAGGTTTTTAAGGTCAGGCTTGACAAAGCCCTGGCTGGGATGATTTAACTGGGAATTGGTCCTGCTTCGAGCAGGGGGTTGGACTAGATGACCTTCTGGGGTCCCTTCCAACCCTGATATTCTATGATTCTATGATTCTATGATCTCTCACACCTGCCTCCCGCTCCTCCGATTCCTGCCCACTATTTCTCCGGTCTCTTCACCCCAATCTTCAGCCCCAGCAATCCCTGCCCTCAGCTGCCCCTCCAGCACCAGCCATCCCCCAACCATCGGCCCGGAGAGACCCCTGCCCCTCCCATGTCTCTGTCCACCCTCCAGCTGCCAGGAGCCATGTGTCGCTCACTACAATCCTCTCCACCACAGCCACCTTGCAGTAGTGCGGCTCCAGCGTGTCCTGCCCTCTCTGGTGTGCAGTGAGACACACGGAGTAGATGGCGTGCAGGAACGTGAGCTGCTGGGCCTCATCCTGTGCCCATCAGGAGTGGCGTTAGGGGAGAGAGAGCCAGTTAGCCAGGGACCTCCCTGCCCCAGCCACACAAGCTGCAGGACTTAAGCCTGAATGGGAGATAGTGGGGACCCGCCCGTTGTCCAAATCACCCATGACTCTTACCCAAGCAGGGTCAGGAACTGGAACAGTGCCTGTGGGGGGAGGAGATCCCGGCTGGCGTGTGACAAACACCCCCACCTTGGGAGTCCCAGATCATGGAGGAGAAAGGTCCCCATTGGGGTGGTGGCTTATGAGGGCCAAGACCCTCTGCAGGGGGTTGGGATGCTGGGAAGGAGCAGGACAATCTCGGTTCCAGCACAGCTGGGGAACGTTTGTACCTTTTCTCGGCCCTGGAGCTGCTCTTGGATGTTTTTGAGAGCAGCCTCCTCTGTGACCATGTCCACCCGTTCCTCCTCCTCCTCCTCTGAGACCCTGGCAGTCCCTGCACCAGAGAGAGAAGGGGACAGGGTCACCCCTGCTGCCCCTCAGGGGAAGCACAGGGGCATGGCAGGGCAATGTGCCCCCTTCCCACCTCATGGACCTAGAGCAGATCGGCCCCACACTCCCCCCCTCAGTGATGCCTTCAGCCCCCAACTCCTTCAGGAGTCCATAGCAAAGAGACCCCCCACACACACACTGTCCTGGTCTCCCTGGGAGGTGCTCCCCACACCACCTTCCACCCAATGGAGCACCAACGACCAAAGTGGCAGCATCTTGTGTCACTGGGGTTCACGTGGCTCAGGCCAGACACCTGGGCTGGGGACCTGCCCCCCATAGGCAGGGGCCTGGGCCCAGAGTGTTCACAGCCCCCTCTTCACCCTGAGCCCAGCCTGGCTCCTCACCTGGAACAAAGCAAAAGCGTCCATTGGCCTGGCTGCTGCTCCAGTCCCAGGCGCTGCTGCTGTCCCATGGGGAGCGGGCTGAGCTGCTGGTGCTGGTGCTGGGACAGGGATCCTCCACCTCCACCTCCTGCCCTGGGGAGGCTGGAAGGACCTCAGTGGCTGGGCAGGGCGATGCCTCGTGCTGGGAATCAGGGCTGGGCTCCTGGGGCCGCTGCTGCCCACACAACAAGCCCCAGAGCCACCCTGCCCAGTTCCGCTCCTGGGCTGGGTCCTGCCTGCCCAGCCGCATCCTGGCCCAGCTCCGTTTTGGCCTGGCCACTGCCTCTGCCACCTCGGTGCCTGCACCAGGAGTGGGTTCCCTCTGCCAGAAGGCTGGGCATGTCCACCTCCTGGCCCGGCAGGGAGCTCCTTCCCCGCCAGCAGGGGCGGAGGGGCTGCTCTGCTCCTGGGGAAAATGGCAGCTGCTTCCCTCAGGCTCTGGGGCCACCTGCAGAGCCTTCTTCCTGAACACCCTCAGGAGCCTGGCCATCCTGGAACCGAGCGGGGCGTAGGCGTGAGTCTGGGGTCAAGGCAGCCTCTCACTAACCAGCCTTTTGGGCCCTGCCCCCCCCCAGGAGTGCAAGGAGTGCAAGCTACACACACTGGCAGGAGTTCATTGCATGATCTGTTCCCAGCTTTCCCTCTCGTCATTCCTGGTGCTGCAATAACTGGGGAGTCTCCTCCTCTCGAGCAGTGGGGTCAGTCACAAAGACCATCGGTCACTTTGGACAAGCGGCTCCCTCTTGCCAACCCAGGCCACACTCCCCTCGCCCCCTGCCCAGGCTAGAGAAGGAACAGAACCCAGGAGTCTGGACTTCTCCTGGGAAACCATTCCCCACTTCAAAGTCCCTAGGTATAGCAAAGTCAGGGCCCCCTCTTTTCCCATTGATTTCCATGCTCAGCAGCTCACAGGGTCTGGCCCAGCTCAGAGACTCTCAGCCTGGGGAACAGTCTCCCACAAGGGAAGGGCTGGGAGCCCCATTGCTGGGACCTTTCCAAACACACTGGAGATGGCTCTGGAGAAGCCACTCCCTGGTCTGAGAGCCAGGGGCTCCTGGGGGCTGTTTGCAAATCCAATCTCCTTTGGGAGAGATTCTCTGCCTCTCTTTCTGCCTCTCCCCAGACAGACAGGGAACGCCACAGAGGAACCCTAATGCCACTCACTTGCTCTAGGTGACGGAGCGATCAATGGCGGATGTTCAGTGTTGTCCCTCACTCTTCTCCTCACTCTCCAAGCCCAAGGCAGGCTGAAGAGGGTAGTGGTGACCTGAGGAGTTACCCTGCCCAGCCAGCAGACAGGGTGATGACACTGGGTGGTCGACTGGCTGTGAAAACAAGAGTCTGTCTTATTGCCAAGGGACGGAGAAACTCGGCCTGCAGCAGGGGGTGCAGAACACTGCCCTAGGGCGGAGGTGACAGCGCCTCCAGGATCCTGACATCCCAGCACTTTACACACCTTCCTGGAGCCTCCCAGCCCCCCTGGGCTGTAGGGACTGCGACCCCAACCCGGCTGATGAGAAACAGGCCTGGGGAGGGGAAGCTACTTGCTCAGGGTCACCCCAAGTGTCAGAGCCATGGATGGGACCCAGCAGTCCTTATTTCCTGGCCCCTTCACTAACCACTGCTGCACACTCCCTCCCAGAGCTGGCAATTATAACCAGGCCCTCATGTCCGTTCCCCCTGCCTTTGACAGGGACTGGACCAGGGGATTGGGAGTCAGGATTCCTGAGTTCCAGTGCTGGGTTTCCTATTGGTTCCATTGCTGGTTGTTTTCCTTTTCCTGTGGGACTTTGGGCAAGTTGCTTCCCACTCGATGACAGGTTTGAGAGTAGCAGCCGTGTTAGTCTGTATTCGCAAAAAGAAAAGGAGGACTTGTGGCACCTTAGAGACTAACCAATTTATTTGAGCATAAGCTTTCGTGAGCTACAGCTCACTTCATCGGATGCTGTAGCTCACAAAAGCTTATGCTCAAATAAATTTGTTAGTGTCTAAGGTGCCACAAGTCCTCCTTTTCTTTCCCCGTTCTATGGCTCTGTCCCCAGCAGTCAAATGGGGATTTAATACTTTCCGCTATTGGAAAGTGCTGGGAGAATTCCCCAGCAAAAGCTGCTCTGACAGTGCTAAGTAGTATCTGACCATTAAAGGTCAGAGCGCACTGCCCAGGAGGAGGAGTGTTTGGCTCTGGGGTTTCACTTCAGCCCAGTCTATAGAGAGGGGCCCAGCCATGGAGTTTGGCTCAAGAAGACCAATTCTCCAATTTGCTAAGGGCTTTTTGAATTCCAATCCTGTGCTCCAAAGTGCTTGGTGTCATTTGCAAATTTTGGAAGCGTACTCTCCGCTCCATTTTCCAAATCATTAATGAAAATATTGAATAGTACACAACTCTGGACTGATCCCTGCCAGACCCACTAAGTACACCCTCTCCGTTGGACAGCCAAACATGGAGAAGGGCTCTTGGAGTATGGGCTTTCAACCAGCTCTGCACCCACATTACACTAATTGCATCTAGACCACATTTCCCTAGTTTGCTTGTGAGAATGTCCTATGAGAAAAGGAGTACTTGTGGCACCTTAGAGACTAACCAATTTATTTGAGCATGAGCTTTCGTGAGCTACAGCTCACTTCATCTGATGAAGTGAGCTGTAGCTCACGAAAGCTCATGCTCAAATAAATTGGTTAGTCTCTAAGGTGCCACAAGTACTCCTTTTCTTTTTGCGAATACAGACTAACACGGCTGTTCCTCTGAAACCTGTCCTATGAGACTGTGTCAAAAGCCTTAGTAACACCAAGATAGATCACATCTACTGTTTACTCACCTCCACTAGGCTAAAGAAGGAAATAGGATTGGTTTGGAATGATTTGTTCTTGACAAATCCATGCTCACTAGTCCTAAGAACCAAATTATCCAGTAGGTGCTGACAAAGTGATTGTTTAATAATGTATTCCAGGATCTTTCCAGGGAGGCTAGCTAGTCTGTAAGTCCCAGGGTTCTCTTTATTCCACTTTTAAAGATAGGTCCTGTCTTGTAAATGGATGGGAAGATGTTCTTTTTCAGGGATCTCAGATGAGAACTGGGGCACAGCACCTGGTTTGTTAAGGCCACAAAACTGGAGGCAGGAACCTCTTCTCTCCTGCTGGCAAAGAACCCCAGGTACCTAAAAGACAGGGACTCACATCCCTGAGTAGGCTTTAAAAAAGGCAATGGTTAAAAAATTTGGCCCCAACCATTTCTTGTTTCCGCAGACTAGACATTTTAGCAAACTTTAGAATTCCTTGGTGCGAAACATCGTGAAACTCCCTTTTCTCCTTAACAGAGGGCTTTGATGCCCCTTATCTCACTCAGGCTCTTGACTGCTCAGAGTTCTAGAATTGTCCCTGTTCTCATTGGACAGATGGGGAGGAGCCTGAGGTACAGAGAAGGGAAGTGACCTACCCAAGGGCCTACACAGCAAGGCGGTGGCAGAGCCGGAAAGAGAAGCCATCAGTCCTGACTCCTGTTCTAACTGACAACAAACCCCCCAGAGCCAGGGATAGAGCCCAGGAATCGAGATGGTGGGGAAATTTCATTGAAACCGTTTCTGTCAGAAAATCCCATTCAGACTAAGCCAGTTTGTGTCTTGAAATCATAACAAGTGGGATGTTTTGTTGCAAAACAGAAGCATCTCCTCTTTGTCACAGTGTCTTAAATTGTCTTGTTGCACACAAAGAGGAGACACTTAAATCTCAAAAATTCGATAAGAAAATTCAAATAAAATAGACTATTTCAGCTATTCTATCATGTCATAATCTGATCTGAGTAAACGTGATAGGACACCTCATATTATGCACTACTCCTTGTGGCGCTCTCCAGTGGATCCCCATCTTCCACCCACCATGAGGTAGGTAGGAGTGGACCTTTATTATCTCTACTTGAAAGAGGGAGAAGCTCTTTTCCTTCCACAGGGAGGATGGATGAGAACACCACTTGCGCCTCATACTCCTTTATTCTCCTTCCCAGAGCCACGTAGTCTGCAGTGATCCACTCAAGGTCATTCTTGGCAGTATCATTGGTGCCCACGTGGAAAAGCAGGAAGGGGTAGCGGTCCGAGGGCTTGATGAGTCTCGGCAGACTCTCGGTCACTTCGCGAATCTTAGCCCCTGGCAAGCAGCAGACTTCTCTGTTTTCCCGGTCAGGGCGGCAGATAGATGACTCAGTCCCCCTGAGGAGAGAGTCCCCGACCACCACCACCCGCCTCCTTCTCTTGGGAGTGGTGGTCGTGGAACCCCCAACCTTAGGACAGTGCATCTCATGCCTTTCAACTGGTGGAGTCTCCTTCTGCTCCCTTCCCCCAGACGTATCATCTGGGCCACTCCCCGCAATGGTACCTGTGGAGAGAACATGAAAACGGTTACTTACCTGTATCTGCGTTTCTGGTACCTGGACGTTCCCCCTTCTTCTTCTGGAGGTCACATGTTGCCAGATTTCTTCACCGTCCTCCTGTCCACGCTGTGCAGCCTGCTCTGAATCTTCAGAACCTTGTGCCTGTAGAAGCATATCCTGACGCCTGTCCAGGAAATCTTCAGTTTCTCTTATGCAACGCAGGGTCGATACCTGTTGCTCCAGACCTTGAACCTTCTCTTCCAATATGGAGACCAGCTTGCACTTTGTACACACAAAGTCGCTTCTGTCCTCTGGAAGAAAGACAAACATAGCACATCCAGTGCAGGTCACAACAGTTGAACACTTCCCATCCATATTACCTTCCTACTATGAGCTTCCTCAGGAGATGCAGTAATTACTCAGAGAAGTCGTTAGGGTGTAAGCCTCAGTGGGCTCACTCCAGGCGAACTCCCAGGCAAAATCCTGTTGTTTGCTGCTCTGCTGTCCGCCGCTGCTCAGCTGGTTCCCCGCCACTCAGCTGGTTCGCAGAGCGCTGGCTTTTTTAAACAGCCAGGCTCACTTGAAACAAAACACTCCCAACTCCCGCCCTTTTCAGCCAACCAATCAAGCACTCACTCAAACTTTCAAGCTGCCCTCACTACAAACACTCCGATCCTCTCACCAAACACACACTCAGATACCCAGATACTCACCAGCACAGATCCCAGGCAAACTCCTGCTGTTCGCTGCTCTGCTGTCCTCCGCTGCTCAGCTGGTTCCCCGCCGCTCAGCTGGTTCGTGGAGCGCCAGCTTTTTTAAACAGCCAGGCTCACCTGAAACAAAACACTCTCAACCATAGGATCCATAGGGAAGGAATGTTCTCTGAAGGAATCAACTGTTTCTCTCTTTGCCACATGAAATTTTGGATCCAAATGGTAAAGAATAATTGTTCACAATCTAACCATGGCATCCTTTGTGACTGTAATTAATGCCAATGAACTAGGGCGTGGTTCTAAAAACAGTTTTACCTGGGCCATAGTTCACCATAGTTTCCTTGTCTGGGGTGTAAACCAACAACTAGGTTCCTGCTATTTCTACCTGAGTTCTTGCCAAATTTTTGGCCTTGTTCAGGGTAAACTTACACTTCTCTGAAATAGAATCCTTTACCAAGCCACCCAAATGGTCAGCAGTGGTAGTGAGGAATGGCTTCTACAAACATTCCTGGTTTATTTCTTTAATTGGGTGGCACAGGTCTAAATTAGGAACTGGACACAGGCCTGGATCAGAAGGTCTAGAAGTTCCCAGAGGTGGAGTTTCTATTCAAAAATTGTTATTTTTCTGCAGCTATCTCATTCAACACATTTCATTTTATACACATTTACAGCAACTACAGAGGGTGAGTTCAAAAACACAACTCTTCTATTTCCTCCACATATGCATAGTTAGGGGCAGCATTCTCCAAATCATAGGATTAGCTAAGCGATATCTTCAGCAGTAACCTGCAGTAGGCCCAGAGCCACAACCTCTTTGGAAATGAAACATATGGGCATCTTGCCTAGTTCAAAGTCTGAAAAGAAGAAAATATAAAGAAGAGATGTATGAGTAAGCAAATGATAATAGTATTTAATAATGAAATGCCTAATAATGAAATATTCTTGTATTTTAAAATATTACATGTGAACTACTTAAGTTATTAAAAATAAAAAGTGTAATATATTCATGTTGAAGTATACAATGCAACAAGCAATATTTTAAAGAATATTTAAGTACATTATTACTAATTAGGTAGTAATTTCCAAATGGCTTCTTGATCTTCTCCATAATCTTTGGTGTTGGATACACGAACTCTGGTATCTAATGTGGATCGATGACTTCTCATCCATGCTTTAACATATGGTATTGGGTTCCAGGAACTTAGTGGTTTTCCCAACAAATTGATGGTCATAAAGCTTGAGATATGTGTAATTGTTAAATTCGCCCTTTTATTACTACAAATAATATTCATCAACGGAAAAGCTCTTTCTGCTTCTGCAGAACTAATTGCAATTGTGTTCATAATTTGCTTTGCTTTCTTTATTGTTTCCAGATCAGGAAGATGTTCTGATTGAATGTTATTCTCTACATAGTCACAAAAATCATTGAAATCGACTACAAATTTTATGAATTTGTTTAATTCATGCACTTTTTCTTCTCCTGATTTCCAAGGTAACCTGACTTCTTCAATATTCCATGAAGTGGGATCCATAACATTGAATATTCAACTATTTTAGGTGTATTACTAGAATGACCTAAATTATCTTCTTTATATTTAATGTGATTTTCGTTTAATAATCTTCCCTTCATTTTTTCAATAATACACTCTATTACTTTGTCTCGTGGCAGTGATTTAAACCTTACTTTACCTTCAAACTCTATGCATTTAAAAGCATCACTTTCTATCATTTCATTAATTTTATTTTCATGTATACCAAACTATCTTTTAATTGTATGAAAAAATCAATCATTCGTTTGATTAGCTTATCTGCCTTTGATAAACTCAATTGTCTCGCTTGCAGTGCATTTGATAATAATGCAAGTTCATCCAAAATGTCAATCATTAATGCCAAGTCTTTTAAAAATTCTTTGTTTTTCAATCTTTTTTCCAGGCCAGAAAATTTCTTATTTTTGGAAAAATAAATATAAAGATAAGCTCTCCAGACCGCTTTGACAGCTCTAAGGCTACAAGAAGCCAATCGAGGACCAAAAACACGGCCTATTTTGATTATTTCAATATATAGTTCTTCAGAAACTTGTTTAAGTTCAAACTGAGTCTTATTTGACTGATGAAAAATTGCATAAATCTTGTCCAAAAAAATCTTGAAATGGCTTATTTCATTGATATCATTTATAGCATCATCTAAAGCCAGTTGTAGCCGATGATTCAAACAATGCCAAATTATAATGTTTGGAAAATCTTGAATGAGTCTTGTAGCAGCTCCAGATTTATGTCCAAGCATGCTGCTCGCGCCATCAGAACAGAATCCGATTAAATTTTTCTTTAAATATTCTGTGTCAAATCCTGTATCGGTTAACATATTTCTCAAAGCATTATAAATATTTTCTGCTTTTGTTGATTCTAATTCCACTAAATCGAGAAAAATTGTTGGTGAAGAATCTTGTAATTCACATTTTATAAGAATTACAAGCACAGTTCTACTTGAAATTGTAGAAGCTTCATCAATAATAATAATACAAATCTTTGAATTGTTTTAAATGATTTTACTAAAAATTTGTTTTCTTATTAATTCAGCAATATGCTCTACGATTCTGATGGCCGAAAATCGAGAATGTAGGCAGTTCCCTAAATCAGTTTCATTCTTAATTTGTAGCTCTACTTCATCCTCCATATCTGACATTGGTCGGTTTCTTTTTACTAAGCTGTAAACTATGTTGAAATTTTTGCTGCTTATTGCAAGATTTTTTTCAGTAACTTTATCAATCACTGTAGTGAGAGGGTTTTTTTTAGATTCATTTAAAATATTTATAACTCTCAAATGAGAGCTTGATTCGAAATGTTCCTTCATTTTTTTTCTTAATGAAGCTTGCTGAACTTTTTTATCAGCTCCAGAGGCTTGAATAGTACACTTCTGCCATGCCGAAGAAATGTGTCAAGATTTTCCGCCAAGGACCCCCAAATGTGACGTATTTGCACAGTGGGGACAGCCACATTTTTTGCCTTCCATTATCAACCCATTATATTTCTTTTAAAAATATTGTGCCTGCTCGGAAGTCCAACCATCGGGTGCTACCTTTTCTCAATCATGTAAATCCTCTTCCATTGCAGACACATTTTCAGATGATTCAACATTTAAGATATTTTCATCACCAAAATTATTGTCGTCGGCGTTTTCAGTATTTAAATCATTATTTTCACAACGAGAACTTCTGACTAATGATTTTGTCCTTTTCGTGGAAAACCAGTCACTAATGCTTTTCTGGCGTTTCATTATGAAGGGTAAATAATATTGACTAGAAAACTTTAATCTTCGAATAACAGTCCAGTTAGTATTACACACCGAAATATCACATGCACTTAACTAGAAACCGACAGACCAACTATGACTCACTGGTCATGTTGAATTGTATAGAAAACAGTTGAGCAAGTGCACGAACGAGGCAAGTGCAACCCCTGTTAATAAAATAATAAACGAGACGTTTGTCTTGCGTCAGGACAAACTTGGATGCGACCGAGTCGCAGCCTGCGACGACATTACATGCGCACGCGCATAGCAACATAAATATTGACCTATCTGTTGTAGAAATGGCTCTTTAACTGCTAGAATTCCGTGTCCCTTTGCATTTGAAGTTTATTTTGTACACCGTATTAAACAAGTCTTCATTAATTTAAGGTTTCCCCCGTGCCAGTTATAAATTTACACTTAAATGAGCCCCTGATGCAACCCCAGAATGACAGCAGGCTAAGTGGGGGCCAATGGCCAGGACCCCGTCTGGCAAGGGGCCAGCGGCCGGAACCCCAGTCCGGCGGTGGGCTGAGAGGGATGGCGGACAAAACACTAGACAGGCAGCGGCTCACCCACCGCCGGTCTGGGGTTCCGGCCGCCGGCTCCTGCTAGCCAGGGTCCCGGCCACCGGCCCCGCTCAGTTCCGTTCACCCAGGCAGGCAGCGGGCTGAGTGGGGCCAGCGGACCCCAGCCGGCAGCAGCATGCCAGTAAAAATCGGCTCGCGTGCTGCCTTTGGCAGGCGTGCCGCAGGTTGCCGACCTCTGCCCTATTATTTTCTACACCATTTTATAAGATTAAGATTATTCATTTTAAGATCATTTTATAACATTTTTTTTCCTAACAATTTTTAACAACCGGTTCTAAAACTGCTTCAAAACTTAGCAGCCGGTTCCCACGGGTCCAGCTCACCACTGCCTATGACTACATCATATGATGCTTGGGAGGTGGAAGGTAGGATGTGAAGAAAATAAACTCCACATGCCTCTGACAGAAGGTAACACTGCTGTGGTGATGGGGAAGGCAGGGATCTCCTTCAGGTGTCACTGAGACTGAAACTACACTTTTCTTCCTGCCTCTGTTCCTGCTCTTTGTTATATTTTAAAAGATTTTAAATTATAAAAAGGGTATACAGAAGAATTGCTGTTCAGCTCCAGGCAGTGCAAGTGGGAATGAGACAACCCGTCCCAAGAGGGGAACTTGGTGACTCGAAAGCAATGGGAGGAACAGTAGAAATGAGATACGATGGGTTTCTTTAGACTAGGAAAATGATGGAGGTCATGAGGTCATGAGGAAACATGCTAGGTACCCCAGCCACTATAAATGGGCTATGCCTTTATTACAGGAAGTTGTGGGTTTTTACAACGGGATATCTAACTCAAACCAGCTACAGTTGCGGAAAATCCTTGTGGAGACCCATGTAGTTAGTTGAGGTCATCCTTATCTCTCCCACCTGTGGCTGATGGACATTCCTGGTAGGACTCATAGGACAAAGGAGTTGATAGAAAGGACCATGGGATTCACCCCAGGGAAGGGGAAGCTGCAAAAGGCAACAGTGGGCAAATTATCTGGGGGACCCGAGAGTGACACAAATGGTGCAAACAGCCTTAAAGGTCACTATGTGGCACTGAGCAAATGTACTGAAGCAAAACAATCTTTTGTCAGCTCTAGACAAGTTTTTGGGGTATTTATCTTCCTGATGGACTCTCTGCTGACAAAGAGCTGGGCTTTCATGGACGCTTTTCCCACACTAGAAGCACCTACATGTTCTCTGTCCTGTGTGGCTCTTCTGATATGCGATAAGGAGTAAGCGCAGAGGGAAGGTTTCACTGCATGCCCAGCATTCATAGGTGCTCATTCCTTGTGGATTTTCTGATGTGTAAAAAGGTTTGCGCTCGGACTGAAGGTTTTACAACATGCCCAGCATTCATAGGGGCTCTCTCCTGTGTGGAGTCTCTCCAGTCCAATAAGGCCATTGTGGCAACTGAAGGTTTCCCCGTACTCAATGCATGTGTTGTTTGTCTCTCCTCTGGGGATCCTCTGCTGGGCTGTGCTTTCCTTGAGGCCCTTTTGAGTTCCCTGACACTTACTGGATTTATCCACTTTCTCCCCTGCTTGGTTTCCCAGCTGTCTTCCTGGCCTGTGCTGACTTTCACAGGTCTTTCCCTGCCCATGACTCCTGGACACATTCCCTTTAGATCTTTGTGATAATGTTTTGTGTCATTCCACTTGCTCAGCATCTTCCTGCTGAGAATTCTGTTCTGCATCCTCGCTCACCATCCCATCACCTGCTGCGAAACAGAGAGAGAAAAGCCTCAGAAGCAGGGATGGAAAAGGGGAGAACCAAAATAAGGGAGGGATAGCTCAGTGGTTTGCGCATTGGCCTGCTAAACCCAGGGTTGTGAGGTCAATCCTTGAGGGGGCCATTTAGGGATCTGGGGCAAAAATTGGGGATTGGTCCTGCTTTGAGCAGGGCGTTGGACTAGATGACCTCCTGAGGTCCCTTCCAATCCTGATATTCTAAGAGCTTGAGAGCTGAGGAAATAAATCAGGAACTGATCTGAGAGCAAGAGGAAGACCCAGAAAAAACAATTAATAGGAAATGTGGAAATGGTGGAAGTGCTAAATGCCTTTTTTGTTTCAGTTTTCATGAAAGGAGTTTTCATGGAGGAGTTCTGTTGACATAGCACTGTCAAAGAGTTGGGTTGGTATAACTGTGTCACTCAGGGGTGTGGATATTTCACACTCCTGAGCAATGTAGTTATACTGATAACTGTAGTGTAGACCAGACCAGAGTGCCAATCTATAGAAACAAGAATAAGGACAATCCAGGGAATTACAGACAATCAGTTTAACTTCAGTACCTGGAAAGAAAATGGAGCAAATAATCAAGCAATCAATTTGCAAACACCTAGAAGATAATAAGGTGATAAGTAACAGTCAGCATGGATTTGTCAAGAACAGATCATGTCAAACCAATTTAATAGCTTTCCTTGACAGGGTAACAGGCCTTGTGGATGTGGGGAAAGCAGTAGCTGTGGTATATCTTGACTTTAATAAGGCTTTTGATATTGTTTTGCATGACCTTCTCATAAACAAACAAGGGAAATATAGCCTAGATGGAGCTACTATGAGGTGGGTGCATAACTGTTTAGAAAACTTTTTCCAGAGAGTAGATATGAGGGGTTCACAGTCAAGCCAGAAGGGCATATCTAGTGGGATCCTGCAGGGATCAGTCCTGGTTCTGGTTCTGTTCAGTATCTTCATCAATGGTTTAGATAATGGTATAGAGCATACATTTGACAGGGTAACAAGCCTTGTGGATGGGGGTGGAGAAGCGGTAGATGTAGTATATCTTGACTTTAGTAAAGCTTTTGATACTGTCTCACATGATCTTCTCATACAAAAACTAGGGAAAAGCAACCTAGATGGAGCTACTATAAGGTGGGTGCAAAACTGGTTGGGAAACCTTTCCTAGCGAGTACTTATCAGTGGTTCACAGTCATGCTGGAAGGGCATAACGAGTGGGGTCCCACAGGGATCAGTTCTGGGTCCGGTTCTGTTCAATATCTTCTTTAATGATTTAGATAATGGCATAGAGAGTACATTTATAAAGTTTGCGGGCAATACCAAGCTGGGAGGGGTTGCAAGTGCTTTGGAGGATAGGATTAAAATTCAAAATGATCTGGACAAACTGGAGAAATGGTCTGAAGTAATTAGGATGAAATTTAATACAGACAAAGTACTCCACTTAGGAAGGAACAATCCGTTGCACACATACAAACTAGGAAATGACTGCCTAGGAAGGAGTACTGCGGAAAGGGATGTGGGGATCATAGTGGATCATAAGCTAAATATGAGTCAACAGTGTAACACTGTTGCAAAAAAAGCAAACATCGTTCTGTGATGTATTAGCAGGAGTGCTGCAAGCAAGACATGAGAAGTAATTCTCCTGCTCTACTCCATGCTGATAAGGCCTCACCTGGAGTACTGTGTCCAGTTCTGGGCGCCACATTTCAGGAAAGATGTGGACAGACTGGAAAAAGTCCAAAGAAGAGCAACAAAAATTATTAAAAGTCTAGAAAACACGACTTATGGGGGAAGGTTGAAAAAAACTGGGTTTGTTTAGTCTGGAGAAGAGAAGACTGAGGGGGACATGATAACAGTTTTCAAGTTCATAAAAGTTGTTACAAGGAGGAGGGTGAAAAAATGTTATCCTGAATCTCTGAGGCTAGGACAAGAAGCAATGGGCTTAAATTGCAGCAAGGGGGTGTCACACTATGCCCCATATTCTTCATAGAGATATTGTTGTGATATGACTATGGCATTACTAAGTTGTATTTTATGCAAGATGGGTCATGTGATGTATCATTGGAAAGGTTATGATTTACTGAATGTGATTATCCTATTTGTATGCATTTATCATTTCTGTATCTGAAGTTAGGAATATTGACTATGTAACAATTTCAAGTGGGTTTGCACCTGGGGAATGCCCACCAGACAAAATGCAATCAGTCTGGCTGGTTAGACAATGGGCTGTTAGGGAGAACAATAGGACTTTGAAGATGCTAATCTCCCACGTTCCTAGGAGCTTCCTGGGATGCTGCTTTGACACTGCAGGCTCATGTGATCATGTCACCTGGTATTGGACTTCATCTTGGACTGCTAATATTTTTCCACTAGTAGGGGGTGGGGATCAAACTGGGAAACAAAGGATTCCCGCCATATGTAAATCCTATTTAAGGCTGGGGAGTGAGTTAATCAGGGTCAGTTCTTCACTGAATCCCCACCCAAGGTGACTGCTAAAAACACCTCAGACTGATCTGGGGAAGAAAGGACTGGATCCAGGCTAGAAGGTATCTGGCCTGTGAAAGGAATATCTGGAGTTTTAAGCGGCAAGCAAGATCAGTTTATCTAAAAGAAATTTTGCAACCTGCTTAAAACAACATTTAAGGTGAGAAATCACTACTTGCAGCCAGTTTCTTTAGCGTGTTCAGCTTAGTTTGTGTGTTTGCTTTATTTGCTCAATATCTACTTTGATCCGTTATAATCACTTAAAATCTATCCTCTGTAGTTAGTAAACTTGTTTTTGTTTTCTATATACCAGTTTGTGGAATTCATAATGGGCGGGGGGCGGGCAAAAAGCTGTGCATATCTTCCTCCACATAGTGGGAGGGAGTGAATTTCATGAGCTTACGCTGTAGTTTTCTGTGCAGTGCAAGACAATATAATTTTGGGTTTACACTCCAGAGGGGGTGTGCACTTGAGTGCTTTAGGGCAATTCCTGAGCTGAGTCTTCCCACGCACAACTGATTTCAGTGTCTGTGTCTTTCTGCAGCTGGGTGTAGCCCTGCCTGCACGTGTGCTGGAGGAGGCTTGACGGCCCGGCTCGCCAGGTCAGTGTAAGGGAACCCAGACTGGTGGAACCAGCGGGCTCAGTGGTACTCCAGTACATCAGGTGGCACCCAGGGGAGGGGGGACAACCTGTCACAGGCGGGTTGAGGTTGGACATTAGGAAAATCTTCCTGTCAGGGCAGTTAAGCACTGGAACAAATTACCTAGGCAGGTTGTGGAATCTCCGTCATTGGAGGTGTTTAAGAGCAGGTTAGACAAACACCTTTCAGGGTTGCTCTAGATAATACTTAGTCCTGCCATGAATGCAGGGGACTGGACTAGATGACTGACTGAGGGCCCTTCCAGTCTTACACTTCTATGATTCCCTCAAACTCTTCCAACTAAGGGAGAGAAGAGGGGAGCAATTTTCCCTCCACATCCCATGCAAACACTCAGGATGAAGGCAGGTGAGGGAGGGAGCTACTGACATAAGTCAGTCGGGGTGAATGATTCCGCTCCTGTGCTTCTGCCCCTCAGGGTCTCTCTTTCTCCTGAGCCCTGGAGATCTGGGACCCATAGCTCCTCCTCCCATTCCAGCTGGGAGATCACATCAAGTTTGGAAACTGGAAATCCTGCCCAGGGGAAAGAAAACAAGGGAGATCAAGTGAACTCTTGAGATATTTGTCACAAAAATGTTCCATTATTTTAACCCCAGTCCATTGTAAAGCCATAAAATCCCAGGGACAGATGCCCAGGCACTGAAAGCTCTCTGCTTATGAGGGATTTAACTATTCTCATCTGTGCTGGGAACACACACAGCCAGACACTCCCCCTCAAAGAGGCTCCTAAGACACAGAGAAGGTAACTCTCTGGGCCAGAAGGTGAGGACGTTAGTAAGAGGAAAATCACCCTGAAACTGCTTCTGACTGAGACAGAAAGAGGCCAAGAGACAAAGGGTGAGGCATAGGTAAGGGTATGGCTCTGTCACGGAGGTCACAGAATCCATGACTTTCTGGGACCTCTGGGACATCTTCTGCAGAGGCAGGGCTGGAGCAGCTTCTGGGATTGGTAAGCCCCTCTGGAACTGGTGCAGTGGTGGGGCTGGAGCAGCTGCTGGCAGTCAGCCCCAAGGCCACCACAGCAGAGACCCCTGGGCCTCTGGAGCAGCTGGCCAGCAGTCAGCCCCGGGGTCGCTGGAGCAGCTTGCCAGTGGTCAGCCCCAGGGCCACCTGAGAAGCTGGCTGGTGGGCTGACCACTGGAGCAGTGGCCACAGGGTTGAAGCAGCAACCGGAGTTGGGTCAGCCCCTGCTGCAGGAACAGCGGTGGGGTTGGAGCAATTGCCAGAGGTCAGCCCTCAGCAGTGCTCCAACTCTTAGTCCCTGTCACCCCTCCCCCAGGGTATTTTTAGTTAAAAGTCAAGGACAGGTCATGGGCTTCCGTGAATGTTCGTTTATTGCCCACGACTTGTCCCTGACTTTTACAAAAACTACCCGGGACAGAATTTGAACCTTAGTCCCAGGGAAGCACATGAAAAGATGGGAGTTGCCTTACCAAGTGGGGGGTCAGTGCTAATGAGGCCAATTCAATTAGGGTGGATGTGGCCCATTTTCCAGCAGTTGCCACATCCACCCTAATTGAATTGGCCTCATTAGCACTGACCCCCCCACACACTTGGGAGTTGCTTTACCATCTTTTCCTTTGCTGTATATTTATACCTGCCTGCTTTTTTTCACTCCATGCATCTGATGAAGTGGGTTCTAGCCCATGAAAGCTTATGCCTAAATAAATGTGTTAGTCTCTAAGGTGCCACAAGGACTCCTTATTGTTTTAACTGTGGTATGTAACCTATTGCTTAAACTAGCCTTTGTATCAGATGACTGGAAGATAGCTAAATAATGCTGATTTTTCAAAAAAGACTCCAGAGGCGATCCTGGCAATTACCAGCGGGTCAGTCTA